AGCGGCCCCGATCAGAGACATTTGTTTGAGGATGACGGTCATTACTCCATTATTGGAGCAAATCAAAGAAGCGCAGGCCGAGGGCCTTAAGGAAGAGAGGCAGAAGTGTGAGAGGATTGTGGGCTGAGTAGCTTCTTTTGACTACGATAGCCGAGGATTGTTGACCCTTCATGGGAGGGTATGGGTACCGTACTAGGGCGGAGTGCGGCAGGTGTTGATGGACAAGACCCATAAGTCTCGATTTTCCATCCATCCAGGGGCAACGAAGATGTATAGGGATCTTCGACCCGACTATTGGTGACCCTGCATGAAGCGGGATGTCGCCTGGTATGTGGAAAGATGCCTGACCTGCAGGAAGGTTAAGGCGGAGCACCAGAGGCCTCACGGCAAGATGCATCCGTTAGACATACCAGTGTGGAAATGGGAGGATATCACTATGGATTTCATCACTAAGCTTCCCAGGACCACACGTGGAGTGGATTCAATTTGGGTTGTAGTGGATCGGTTGACGAAGAGTGCTCATTTTATACCGATCCAGGAGAGCATATCGGCTGAGAAGCTAGCTAATATATATGTTCGAAAGGTAGTGGCACGACATGGAGTGACTGTTTGAGTGGTGTCAGACTGAGATGTCCGTTTTTCTTCCAGATTCTAGAAGCGGTTTCACAATGAGATGGGTACTCGTCTCCATTTTAGCACCGCTTTCCATCCTCAGACCGACGGGCAGACGAGAGAACAATTCAGACTCTCGAGGACATGTTGCGGGCATGTGTTCTGGACTTCAGTGGCAATTGGGATACGTATCTTCCGTTAGCGGAATTTTCGTATAACAACAGTTACCATGTGAGTATTGATCGACCTCCTTTCGAGATGCTCTATGGGAGGAAGTGTAGGACCCAGATTTGTTGGGGCGAGGTCGGTCAGCGGGTCATTGGGAGCACCGAAGTGGTGCTCAAGACGATAGAGTTGATCCAGCAGGTTCGTAGCAAACTACAGACTACGCAGAGTCGGCAGAAGAGTTACGTTGATAGGAGGCGTTCAGACTTGGAGTTCCAGGTGGGCGATATGGTCCTCCTGAAGGTATCACCCTGGAAGGGTGTTATCAGGTTTTGGAGAGGGGCAAGTTGGTACCCAGGTTCATCGGTCCTTTTAGGGTTTTGGCCCGGGTGGGATGGGTTGCTTATCGGTTGGATCTTCCGCAGAGCTCAGTCAGATCCACAAAACTATCCATGTTTCTCAATTGAGGAAGGGCTTGGTGGATGAGACAACAGTAGTACCCTTGGAGGACATTCAGGTTGATAGCATCCTGAATTATATTGAGAAACCCATAGCGATCATGGATCGGAAGACGAAAGCCTTGAGGAAGAAGGTGGTTCAGTTAGTAAAGGTGTAGTGGCAGCACCAGAAGGGATCTGAGTGGACGTGGGTGGAAGAGGAGGAAATAAGGGAGCACTATCCAGAGTTATTCGCAGATGCAACAGCAGTAGCATACTTCGAGGACGAAGTCTGAGACAAGTGGGGGAGAGTTGTAACGACCCCATTTCTAGTATGTTATTTAATGTTTATTTTTCTAAGTTTTCAAGAGGGACTCGACGAGTCTGTTGTCCGACTCATCGAGTAGAGATGGGATTTCCAGCACGTGAAAGTGGATGACTCAACGAGTCTATATCCTGGACTCAGCGAGTCCGCCAGTTTTGAAGAAACCCTTGATCCACGGGTTTTGCACCCTATATAATCCCCCTTATGCACCCAATCTGGCCTCCCTCACCCTCAGAACGTTTCAAAGTAATACCTTAACCTATCTTGAGTGTTTTTGGGCATATTTGTGTAAAGAGTGAAGATTTGAAGAGAGGAGGAAGGCTAGATCCAAAGGAGAAGAAGGGGAACAAGATCTTGCATCCATTTCAGAGTCATTTGAGGTATTAAACGGACTCTTTCTGTTCTTTGGTTGTTTCTCTTTAAAGAATCTCATTTGGGTTACCTTTTGCCCATTATGAGCTTAATCTAGTAAGGGAGCTTGTGTAAGTGATATAGCTTCCAGATCTAATAATATTTTTGTCCCAAAACCCAGATCTAATACCTTTATTGAACCTTGTTGCATATAAACCCTAGATCTAACCTTACTCATGCATTTTAAGCCTATAAACCTCTTTAGGAGTATATGTGCACGTAAAAATGGAACCTTTACGTGCAAACCAAGCCTTAGGAGCCCAGATCTATCAGTTGGATGCGTTGGTTTTGAGCAGAATCGTCTGTATAGTAATTGCATGCATGTGACTCGGCGAGTCATTCTTCGAACTCGGCGAGTCGAGTCGCGAGTCCAAGATAGTCTTCATACCTCTAGATCAGACTCAATGAGTTGTTCATACAACTCGACGAGTCATAGCCAGAGTGTTCATACGTTTAAGGAGGACTCGACGAGTTGTTCATACAACTCGGCGAGTCGGATGCCGATTGACTAAGTGATAACATTGATGGGGAACTTGTCGAGTCTATTCCAAACTCGACGAGTATTAACGATCAGAAGCAAAGAAGTGAGGGTGAGGACTTGACGAGTTGGCGACCCAACTCGATGAGTCAGGTCAATTGTATGTTGACTTTAACCAATAGGGTTGACTTTGACCAGGGGTAAAATAGTCATTTTACCCTCAGTATAATTATCAGTATTTGATTTAGTGTGTTATGGAAATTGTAGCCGGGGAGATACCGGAGCAATAGCAGACAATTTCCAGTGCCGTTCATTTACCAGCCAGTTTACGAGGTGAGTTTCCAGTAGGAACGGGTCTAAGGCCACAATGCCGGCCCGTTTAGCTAGTACTAGTTTCCGGACTTCGGTCCGATGCAGTTTTTAGCATGTTTGATGCCTTCGTGGCTCAGACAGGATTTATGCATTATGTGTTCCGGGCTACGACCCGATGCAGTGTAGTTTATGTGTTCGTGCAAGTTGATATGTTTATGCCATGCTATGTTATGCTCAGTCAGGTTCCGGACTTCGGTCCGATGCATTTAGTTCCGGACTTCGATCCGATGCAGGGGACAAGGTCCCAATCAGTTCTGGACTTCGGTCCGATGCAATTTCCGGACT